TTTCGATTTTACCTTATTGGTCTATAGTAAATTTATGTGAGGCTCCAATATTAAATACAATAATTTTAGTTATATGGACTTTGGAGAATGAGAAATTCAAAATCGTGCTTGAAATTACAGTTTGTAGTTGCCATGTAATAATGAATTGTCTTCACAAACACTAAAAAATACAGCGGAACCCTGAATTAGTCGTTACGATGAAGACCACGGTAATTGCTACTTCCTTATTGAGTCATTCTTTACTGAAGTGAGTATACCTCAAATTGTAACGCCGTTCGATAGTAAGGTATCCACTTACAATTTTGTTTGGAAAACTTACATCATTTGTACGTTCCATTTATAAAACTTTACCATTCATTTAGCACATCGATCCCAAGTAAACTCTTTACAACTAGTTGATAAATCCTCTAGTGATTCAGAGACTTAACCCATAATTCAAGATATAGTGAAGTGAAACACTTCTTTTCCTCGTCCGATATGACCTCACACGAGAGGCAGTTCAAGGGATAAGGATCATTTATACAATTACAGTTATACAAGTTTGTTATACAACTTTAAAATATTTGTCAGCTATGTTAACAGCTTTAACAAGTTGTCAACAATAAAGCTTTTCGCATTCGATGCTTACCAGTATTTATTTACGCCATAAGTTAAACATGAAAAAAATGTAAAAAAGATATTTTGAATTTCTTGCCTATCTGAAAGTATTTTATGAGTAAAATAAGTATAATGTATTTAGTAGTATTCCTTGCCTATCTGAAAGTATTTTATGAGTAAAATAAGTATACAGTATTTAGTAGTATTACTAACGTAGATAACTAGGTAATTTAGAATAAATCGTTTCTAATTTAACAATTTCATGTTCTTAATGAATAAAGCCTGTATTGTCGCAGTATGTGAAGCAATCTAATTCACTTATCAAAAATAGATGTGGACTTTATATTAATGTATTTGCAGTCGGCTGTATTAGAATACAATTTCCTTTCATCGGACGTTTATTTATAGACAAGTAGTAAACCACCCACATAAAATATTTAATTTACTACTTGTAAATTACCTGACGTAGTTTTGTACGTAGTTTTGCGAACGACTTCGGGCAAGTTCTATTATTATCTTTCCATATTGAAGTGGACTTTACATCTATACGCACGAAGCAAATCTTTGATTGAAATTTAACTTATAAGAATGAGCTACTCACAGATTACTATGGTGTCAAAAGTAGATATTTTCCTTCAGTTACATGTGCTACAATGTTGTATGTAAAATAAAATATACTAAAATTTACAATAAGTTGGACGATTAGTTTTCCTTGGTAAGAAAGTTTCTGAATTCTGTAGATATCCCTAATTGACACCAGGGGCACTGTGTCCGGTTCACGTAGATTTGTATTCTAAAACTTGCTACACCTTTAACTTTGCAATGAAATATCTCAAAGGCTCTAGTCACCTGGTAAGTGAAAGTAAACACGTAGTTGGCTCCAGTCGATGCGTCCCAGAAGAGATGGGTACCCAGCATGAGTCTTGGCACTTCCATGGAAATAGTGCGGTTACCGTCGTCCGGGTCCGGGATCTGGCGAGTAGAGGGTCCGATGAAGGTACTGAAGGTCCAAGCCATGACGGACATGAGAGTGCCAATACCTATGATGAGCAAGAGCCGCCTGACTCGCTGCATGGTCCGAGTGCGATGGCGAGCATTCGACTCCACGAACGAGGGTGCGAGTTGATCTGACAACAATTTATGTTACATGTTTATGTCACAGTTTGTTTATATTTGACCTCGCAGAATCTGTGCCAATAGTTTGTGAGGAAAATATTTTTACCTTTGTAAAGTTGAATGTTATTTTTGTTTTCAAAGTGTAAAAATACTGCATTTACAAATTCCATTCACATAAAAACAATAGTCTGTAGAACAGTTGCAAATTTGCAAAGAAGCTGTCTTCATTGCACAAATATGGTAATCATTATGTTAAGCTACATTGTCTTTGAATGGCGTTGCCTGAATTGAAGTTTTTAATTTTATCTGCCCTTTTGAATACACATTTTTTTACTTCGCTTCTTACATTTTGTATCCTTTACACACAAGTAATATTAAAAAAGCAAAATGTGGATAAATTCTTTGCATGATTGCCTAGTTTAGTCCAGAGTTAATCATGATAGGCTATGCCCAGAGAGAATATGTTGGATATTTGATATAATCCTCTATGCACAATCAACAGTTATGTACCTTAAGGGGGAGGTAGCCCTAAACCTAGGGGGGCTTAGCCCTGCCCTAAAGAAAATAATCTTTTAATTACCATTCGTCACTCCACTAAATCATAAGCGTTACAATGACGCTTCAATAGTAAAAATCGGTTGAGCGGAACGGCCGAAAAAGGGACGTAACAGAGAAAACCCATACTGTATTGTGTATGTATACAGAAAGATGATACAGTCAACAGTTTTAATGGTACAGTACAAATAAACTATCTCACTTAACAAATCTTAAGTATTATTTACATTTAGTAACGACCCAACTTTTACTATGTAGCCATACTTTACGTAAAGAAAGTGAAATTGCAACATTTAAGAAAGAATGAAACTTTCAAAATATCGCTAACGGCATCCTAATACAGTTGAGTCATTCTTAATACACTTTTATTATATTTACTTATTTTTTATAAAAAGAAAACAGGTGATCGTAATATAAAAGTATCTGAATGGAGTACTTTTCAATCGGATGTATAAGTTCTTTCATCGCCAACGTCCATTATACTACTTCAAAAACGTATATTTCTTATCACTTCCACTGGAAATATCGAGACTTTATTAAATTGAGACTGGACCAATGCCATGCAAATATAATAACTAGTCCAGTCTAATGAAATTGTTTAGGGAAATTAATATTACATTTTCCTTGGTGTGGTCTTGCAAAGGTTTTTTGTATCAATAGATATTTTTTTGAAGACATATTTATTAATAATGCAATTCTAGTGTAGTAACGGGTGAATTTTCAATTTCTTAAAATGTAGATTGTAGTGACATAATTATTTCTAGATTTACGTTTCTGGAGATAATCATTGTTTTCCACCTTTAACAGTCTATTTCTCTATGTGTACTGAAGATAAAATGAACAGGTCTTACTTTTGTAGATTTATTTTATCTTATTTGTTGCAACTATTAATTTATTGAATGACATAAATGCATTTAGTTTCTTGACTAACTGGCGTAAAATAAAAAAAACCAATCAGTATCAAAATATAATAAAATTGTGGCGTAGCCCACTAGCCTTAAATGAACACGGATTTTAAACTTACGTGATTCCATGACCCCAGCACTCTGTAGAAGGCCTTGCTGCGAAACGCAAAGTAAAAGTACTTGGTGATGCTGTGTGCGAAGAAGAGGAAACTGATGGTAGCAGAAGCTATTTGGTCGCCGTTGTAGGTGTCGAAAATGAGAAACAATAGGATGAATCCAAACTGCATGACCATGAGAATAGTGGTGATCGCGGCATAGAGCATACGCATCAGGTGTATGGCCCCACCATTCTCCTCATAGTACTCAAACATCCAGAAGCCCGAGAGCTTCATTATCTGGATATGAGGCCACATGTCCCCCACAAATCCATGCTTGCGTATCTTCTGCATCACCATCGTGTCTATAACCATTAGAACAAATGTTAGTTAATATTGACAATGACTTTACATAGGCCAATGTCTTCCGCAAACCCATGCTTGCGTATCTTCTGCATCACCATCGTGTCTATAACCATTAGAACAAATGTTAGTTAATATCGACAATGACTTTACATAGGCCAATGTCTTCCGCAAATCTATGCTTGCGTATCTTCTGCATCACCATCGTGTCTATAACCATTAGAACAAATGTTAGTTAATATCGACAATGACTTTACATAGGCCAATGTCTTCCGCAAACCCATGCTTGCGTATCTTCTGCATCACCATCGTGTCTATAACCATTAGAACAAATGTTAGTTAATATCGACAATGTCTTTACATAGGCCAATGTCTTCCGCAAATCCATGCTTGCGTATCTTCTGCATCACCATCGTGTCTATAACCATTAGAACAAATGTTAGTTAATATCGACAATGACTTTACATAGGCCAATGTCTTCCGCAAACCCATGCTTGCGTATCTTCTGCATCACCATCGTGTCTATAACCATTAGAACAAATGTTAGTTAATATCGACAATGTCTTTACATAGGCCAATGTCTTTACATAGGCCAATGTCTTCCGCAAATCCATGCTTGCGTATCTTCTGCATCACCATCGTGTCTATAACCATTAGAACAAATGTTAGTTAATATCGACAATGACTTTACATAGGCCAATGTCTTCCGCAAACCCATGCTTGCGTATCTTCTGCATCACCATCGTGTCTATAACCATTAGAACAAATGTTAGTTAATATCGACAATGACTTTACATAGGCCAATGTCTTCCGCAAACCCATGCTTGCGTATCTTCTGCATCACCATCGTGTCTATAACCATTAGAACAAATGTTAGTTAATATCGACAATGACTTTACATAGGCCAATGTCTTCCGCAAACCCATGCTTGCGTATCTTCTGCATCACCATCGTGTCTATAACCATTAGAACAAATGTGAGTTGATATTGACAACGTGCCGTCCGTTACCTTTTTACCTTCGATTACTCAGTGAAGATTAATTTAATCCTCTGTTGAAGTACAAAACAACATATTTTAAACGTAATACCAAATCAAGGTAGGTATTGTAATAAGTTGAAATACGAGTAAAAAGTTTCTAATGCTATTGCTAACACTGAAGTTTGGTTACATTTCGACCCTTCTGAGTTTTTATTGCACAATTGATTTAGAAAACCAAAATTTTTGTTAACCTCTGGTAACCCCCCTATACAAGTAGTATGCAGAGTATGTAGTATGTACCTATGCAATGAGCCGTATAATTGCAAATCACTAAATACATAAATTGTAGAAAAACATAGGGGGAAAGTACTTAATAACCACCATGTACATACAAAAGGTGGATGGTTGTAAAGAAAAAGAGTGAAGTGTAAAGATGACCTTTTTAGCATTCTTCTATTCTCAGAAACCTTAAAATCTAACGCAAAACAGCCTTTTTGTAAAATTAGGATTTTCAGGTTTCGTTTTACTAGACATACATATTTGTTTAAACTATTGCTTTAGTCTTCTCTTATGTATTGGTGATCAAAAATACCACTAAAAATCGAATTTAAGGAACGTATTGAAGCTTCGACACTTTTATTACCAAACATTCTAGGACAATCTATAACCAAACACATGACCGCATTTTAATTTGTGACAAGGATTCAACATTTTCATTCTATCAAACAAACATTAATAATGCCTTCCAGCTCATCAAGAATAACACGTAGCACACGTTAACATAGTTTTAGTTTTAATTCAATATATTTTCTAATTTTTTATCCATTATGAGCTTAATACTTCTCCATATATATGTAATACGAGGTGTTTTATTCAATGCAAAAATTTACTTTTAAAAATTTAAACTGATCTTTTCTTTGAATAATTTTGTTTCCTATATTCCTAATATTGGTTTTAAGATTCATATGTTAAGACTAAAAAAATGAACACAAATCCAAAAAAGATGTTTAAAGATAAGAATTATGTTAATGATGTTTTGGACGTTTGATAAACTTGATACTTGTGTACAGAGGTTAGTTTTAAGAAATAAGAAATTCACTGATAAACCTCGCCACATGAGCTTGCTAAATCATTTATTTATGTTAAATTCAACAACTGTATATAAATACTGGTTGAAATTATATTCACCTCAAGTTTAGAGCTCAGTAAAATATTCTGCTGAAGATGAGCTATCCATTTTGGTTTAATTAAAATTACCACGAATTTATCTGACACCAAGCGTAAGAGGACTTGGGTGACAAGACATTTTGTGTAACAGTTAACAGGCCTTCTAATTAGAGGTACATTTATGAATAGGGGCTTTTATATCTTGATTGGCTTTAAATTATTTTGAGACTTATTTAATCAAAATGGCTCATTTAATTGTATTGATGAAACAAATACCAATTTTAGGACTAATTGTTTTCATGTAGCATGAGAAAATTACCTCGCAGCTTCAAAATATTTCAGGACTGTTAACCAAACAGGAAAATTCATTTATCTCTATTAATTTCTACAATAGAATTAATTTCTATTGTACTTCGAAAAGAGGTTTATAAGTAAGGATTTTCTTCACTTGCGCTACTTTTTACTTTATCTCTCTATACATGTAAAGGGAGAAAGAATTGTTTAAGTCAAAATTTTGGAGTTTGAGGTTTAGGGGAAAATATCCATTTTTGGTCCTCCTAAACAGTGGTTTTCGAAGTGATATCTGTGTGTGTGTCCGTTAGCACGACAACTCAAGAAGAAATTATCCAATTTTAATGAAATTTGGTACAAACGTGTCCTACGTTTATTTGAATTAGTTCGCTTACCAGCATGATCGGACCATGGGGATGGGATTTTATGGGGGTGGGAGTTATGGTGTGAAAATAGGTGATCCCATTTTCGATCCTTACAGCATAAGCTATTACCATTTATTTCCAAACCAATTTTTATAGCTTAAAAAACAAATAATTTATTTTATTGAAGCATTTTTTCCTGTCATTTTGTTCAATGGCTACAGAGAAAATGTTACGATGATTTAAGTTTAAGATTCTCGTGTTATTCTATTGAGAATAAATACACTGTTTTAGTTAGCTTGTTTATAATATTGTGATCCAATTTGGCAAATTTATTGGTGATATTCTAAGCAATTAACATTTCACTAAAACACACATCGCCAACTTCCTTGTAGCGCCAAACCTAAAGTTTTCAAACAGGGTTTAAGGACATTTGATTGGAAATTGAATTTAACCAACAGAAATTTGCTAAGTATGCAGGTTGGCTGTATAGCTAACCGAAAGATGACTTTCGCTTAGCTTAGAAATTTTTAAATCAGGTTTATTTGTTTGGAGTTTACCAGGTCAACACGTCAAGTATTAGCTTCATGTCAATTGTAATATTTTTAATTAGTGAAGGTTTGTCAAGTATGTTGGAGTAAATGAGTGCAAACCTTCACTATGAGTTGCCAATGAGAACTCAATAACTCATAAAAAAAAGTAGTGAAGACAAATTTGAAGTTTTGATAGGCTAAGGCACAGTAACAGTATTTTTTTAGTTTATTCTGTCTGTTAGGCCTGGATAACATCACATCGTGAATCTGGAGGTGCAGTAAATTTTAAAGTTACTTAAATATAGAATTATTGCCCATCTTGACTTAATTTCATGTATGTAACTGTCCCTTGTATTTCCTACAGGTAAAACACTAACTACTAAAAATAGGGAATTATACATTAAACCTGTAGGCTAAATTATTGAAGGTAGTCTCGATTAGTTCTATGAAGTGTATGATTATTTTTAAAAGTTATTTTCATTGTCAGTTATAATTCATGTTCTCATACTGCCTGTTTATTGTTTGCCTTTCATATTCCGAATCATCCTGAACTTTAAAGAAAGATACATTAAATGTGGTTCACAACAGTTACGAGTTTTTAGAATAAGAATATAGGCTATTTATATGGCCGATTATCTTTGCAAATGTGCATAACAAACTCTTCTGTTCTAATATCATGTCATCGATGGTATTTGTACTAAACAAGATATTATCTGCATGTGTTGTTCCTTGATATAGCATTCCAAGAAAGAATAGAAGATTTTATGATAGGCCTACTGTCAAATATGCTAACTTTCTACAAACTCTAAAAATGGTTGTGTTTTGTTTAGGATATGCATTGATATTAATAGACTTTATTGAGTTAAAGACAATAATCTTTGTGTTTTACATTTAGTTCTCGGTTTACGTTTCGCCTTAAAACCATAATACAGAAAATGTGTCATGACATAAAAACATTTGCTTTGACAGTATTCAATTTGATTAGCCAGGCAATAAATATACTCTAATTTTTTCATGTGCAATTTCTTCTATTTTGAATTGTGTTACACAACACAATTTTGGAACCTCATATTTTGTTACAGAATCAAGTTCAACAAGTAATAAAGCAATAAATAATTCCCAGCTATTGACGTCACTGTGGTATCCACCATTAGCAAACAATTGGTGTCTTGCCTTGTATTGCTTATTCCGTATTATTACGTAGTAATTTAAAGTAGTATGGTGTATGTCCGTGTCTCAGAGAAACAGAGAAAAATACTAGCATAAACTTGAAATGGGAAATTTTAATAAAAATAGTGAAATGAATACATTAGTCTAGGTTCACCGGGTTCACCAAAAACAGTCTGAGTGTAAGGATTTGTCATTAAAATAAACGGTATCAGCATTTTGACACGTATAAAGCGATGGGAGTAACTATGATATTTTTTGGGAAAATAACCTAAGTTCCAATAACTTTTGGACCGCATTTTAAAGAATTAGGGGTGTAACCATTTTGTTTTTAATTCAAAGTACCATAACATACTAAATTTTAATCAACATCGTTTCAGCCTTTTTATTGGAAATCTGAGTGGTCTTTTGTGTTATGGGTTTTAATGGGGAAATCACCATTCAAAATAAATATTTGCCAAATAAAGTAAGAAGAAAAACACCTGGGGATAC